GAAAATTTTAGCAGAGAGGGTAAGACTTCAAAACTCAATGTCTGAATTATTTGATGTTTCTCTCTATCTCTCAGATCTTACTGAAGGAGAAAGTAAAGAGAAAATTCAAAATTTCAAACACTTGTCGGAAATTTGAGATTCAGACTCTTAGCTTCAAGTTTCCCTTTGTTTTACCTCCAACCTTTAATTTTTTTCACTCTTGCTCTCTCAACAACACCAATGACTATAACATATTGAAAATATACAACAGAATGACCTACAAAAGCTTTACTGTAATTTTGCATATGTCCTGTCCTCTCCCATATTCATAAAGATGGGTATTTATCTCCGTATGTTGCAGATAAATGTTAAAAGTCTTAGAAATATAGAAGGGCTATTTATGTTCAGTTCTTCACTCCTTCCTTCCTTGTATTACCTCTGGTAATAGTAAAAGAAAATAGGAGAAAATAGGAATTGAGTGCATAGGGGATTAATTGAAGAGGACTTGATTTTCTTTATAAGCTCATGACATGCAAAGAAAATGGTATCAATTGGGTTTTGATTGTGTTATTGGAAGGAAAATCGCCTAGGCGAGCATGCATTATATGGTTAGATATTGCCTGTTTGAATTTTAAATATGTTTTTTTCTTCTTTTAAAATAAAGAACTACGTCTTTTTTCTTTTGCTCTTTCTTTTTTGAGGTATCACAATCCAGACATGGATGAATGATCTTTAAGCTGATATTGGGATTCATGTAAGCTGATATTGCAATATCGAATTACATGAGAGTATGTAAATAAACATAAATCCAAATTGGTCCATTCTTATGATAAGCGTCTTGTCATTATACTTCACATATATTTGCAGTATGCGTTCTCATGTTTATCGTGAAATATTTTGCTTAAACAAAGTAATGGTAAACATGCCACAATCTCTTGGGAATTAGTACTCGTAGATTTTATCCTATATTCAAAATGTATCATTCATCTAAATAGATTTTAAAGAAACCAAAAAACTAGCTACTAGAATGTTCTTCAGTTTCGAATATAATATCCAGTTCATTCTTTATTCAAGTTGTGATGTTAATGATAGCCATAATAGTTCTTAAATTTTTGTTTGATTAGATAGCATTAGTAGTTCTTAAATTTTTGGTTTTGGTAGGAGAAGAAACATGGTGAATGAGGAAGGTTCATCAAAACTCATACACGGAAAGACTGGGTTGGCATTGTTTAGGAAAGACTTTTATGATAAAGCTGAAAAGAAGTATAAGAGATTGAGGGAAGGACATAACGATGTGTTAAAGGCATGGAAGGGAATGCACAATGAGGAAAAAGAAAAATATGTTGAGAAGGGAAAGCAATTAAGGCCTGAAAAGATCAGAAGGAATTGTAAGTCAGCTTTTCAAACGCGTACCTCTCTCCGACAATTCAAGGATCTGGCTGAATTTGTAAAGGCGAACAATGATTTAAGGGAGAGGGTGGAAAAAATTGGATTTGGAAGGTTGCTTGATGTGTTGTGTGATAGACTCCCCCGTGACATTTGTGTAAGTTTGATAAGAGCATATGATCCACCAACATATCAATTTCGTATTCGGGGGAAGATAGAAGAAATGAGACCGCAACATGTGCACATTTTGTTCGGCCTACCCCATAGCGGGGCAAAGGTGAATATGAAAGTAGGTGATCATGATCCAGCATATGAGGAGGTCAAGGGGTAATATTTTAAAATGCCATATAACAAAATATTGGCCATGATCAAATCTGGTGTAAATAATGAGAAGTTTGAATTTTTGTTTGTGCTATACACTCTTGGGACTCTTTTATGTCCCACTGCGAGTGCAAGAGTCAGTGAATGGTTGTGTGGTGCACAAATAATGCATTTCAACAGTATGATTGGGCAACCTATGTGATGAATGAGCTATGCAAGGAAATAGAAGATTATGTTAAAGTGATGAGGAAGAAGAAGGATGGCCAGTTCAACGTGGGTGGGTGCCTCTATTTCTTATTGGTATGCATTTTTCTTTTGACCAATTATTGGTATATATATATCCAATTATGCTATTTTCTACTATTTTTTGTCTATAAGATACTGTTTAAAGTTGTATGATTAATGATGCAGATCTATTTTTTGGAGTATTTCCCACTGCTTAAAGCTGATGAGCATGAGCCTAGGGATGCAGTTGCGTTTTGGACTAATGAGAGGGTATGGAATATGTGTAAGAAAGAGAGTACAAGCTGTATGGGCATTTTGTATGAAGGAAGTGGTGTTGAAATGAGGACTAGGAAAGAGGAAAGAGCAACAATTGCCTATCTAGACCCGGTATAGAAATGATTATTATAATTATTGTGTTAGTTCTTGTTACGTCTGATACTTTGAATTGTTTTGTGTAGGAGTTGAAGGAGTTACACTCAACTTTGATGAATGCGATTGAAGAAAACCATAGAAGGCTCATTAGTGTAGTTGAGGAGAAACTCATGAAGGTACAACTAAAGAGGGAGAGACACCAAAAATCAGAGCAAAGGGTGCATGGACATGAAGAAAATGATGAAGATAAAGATGTACGATATGGAGATGATGAAAATATTCATGTGGAAGATGAGTTTATTGGAGATGAAGGGGATGAATCAAGTGCAGATTCTAAAGCTAAAAATGAGGAGGAAGAAGAAGCATCATACCAGGAAAATATCAATGTGGAAGATGTGTTTAGTGGAGATGGAGGGGATAGATCAAGTACAGAATCTCAAAATGAAGAAGAGGACCAAATTAAGCACAGAGATCAACCCCGGAGATCAATGAGGACTAAAAGGCCAACAATTAAGTCCCCTTGGGTTTTATCAAAGCCGATTAAGAGGACAAAAACAAAGATGGATGAGAAGGACATCTTTTCCATCTTGGTCTCTCATACATGCACGATTGAAGAGGGTAAAAAGATATTGGTAGAAATGTATGATGACAGCTTGACTCGCGACAACCTTAGATGTTTGGGTGGTATTCAAAAAGTAAATAATAGGGTCAGTATCTTACTTGTGAAATGAACTTTTGATAATTGATATATTATCCCTATGAATATGAACATGTTTTTCATCAAACACAGGTGATGTCAATGGTGTGTAAAACATTAATGGGCGAAATGAAAACCAAGGGACAACTTAGGCGACACATATTTGATGCTGACTTCATGGTTTTTGATCTTATTCCATCACTTGTTTTAGTTTTTATCTTGTCATTTTTTTGTAATTAGATGATGTGCAATGTTTGTAGATGAAAATGTTGATCAACCCCTATGATTGGAAAGCATCAGACAATGAGAAGCAAATTTTGCCTACATATTTGGGATATAATTTAGGCGATTGTGACTTGATATTCGGTCCATCTCTTATAGACAATCACTAGTTTTGTTATGTTCTTGAGGTGAGGACTATGAAGTTTTATGTATTAGATTCATTGAAAGGTCATGTAAATGACCAACATAAGAAGAAGCGGAAGAAAGAGAGTATCACAGAAGATCCAAGGATCACTAAGGTGAAAGCATGTGTATGGATATTTTATGCCTTTATTAATTTTTTGATAATATATTTGTTTGAATAAGTTGTAGTCTAATTATTGAATTGATTGTGTTTGCAGAGAGATAGATTCCATGATAGAAGCCAATGAGTGATATAATTTGGGCTGCTGTACCACAACAAAATAATCTGTACGTGTTATGATTTACATCATTTAACAGATATTTTGCATGTGGTTATGAGTAGAAGAATTAATACTTTTTATTGGTTTATGTGTGCAGTAGAGATTGTGGTGTCCATGTGTTATATTGGTTGAGATCGTGGGACCCATCCGCTGTATTAAATTACACAGACGTACAATTATGGACTTGTAATGTTGATTTGATTTTATAATGTGTATGTTACTTGGTAAATTAACATGTAATTTTCACTCGTATGCAGGAAGAAATTTCCAAGTTTAGGAGGGATCTTTTGTGGTGGCTTGTCAATCATCATGAAAATTCAAAACGTGAAGATGCTATAAAGTTGCTTTCAAATCCAAAGAACCCGTTTCCTGGGAAAAGGAGGCGTTTTGGAATGTAGGATGTAGGGGTTTGTCTGTGTGTATGCTGATAGGTTAGGTGGCAACGTTTTGAAGTATTTGAAGTTGATAGCTTTGTTTAGGAGCCACTTTGCCTTGTATTTTTGTCATTTTTCTCTTGGAATTATTGGATTGATATATTGTTTTGCTGTAGTTTTTTAGATGCCACATAGTATATAAAAATTAACATGTTCTATTTCATAGTTAACAAGTTTAAGTTCTAAATTAACAATTTATGGTTACATAACATACCAACAATTAAGTTCTAAATTAACATATTCTATTTTACAGTTAATATGTTTCAATTCTAAATTAACAACTTTATGTCTTCATGACACACTCACAATAAGTCTTTTGCTAAAATTTGATCACAATAAAACCTTGACAAATAACAAGTTCAATTACGTTGTTAACAAGTTTAAGCTCTAAATTAACAACTTCCTTATCCTTGTAGCATACTTGCAGTAAGTATTGACAAAAAACCATATTACATTATATCGTTGAAAATTAACACGTTCTCTTTCATAATTAACATATTTCAATTCTAAATTAACAACTTCATGTTTTCATGACACACTCGCAATAAGTTTTTCACCAAAACTTGATCACAATACAACCTTGACAAATAACAAGTTCAACTACGTAGTTAACAATTTTCCTATCTCTATAGCACACTTGTAGTAAGTATTGACAAAAACCATATCACACTGCATCCTCGAAAATTAACATGTTCGATTTCACAATTACCATGTTTCAATTCTAAATTAACAACTTTATGTCTTCATGATACACTTGCAATAAGTCTTGGGCTAAAACTTGATCACAATAAAATCTTGACAAATAACAAGTTCAATTACATATTAACAAGTTTAAGTTCTAAACTAACAACTTCCCTATTCCTATAGCATACTTGCAATATGTTTTTGACTAAAAAAATTTCAACATGGGTTTGGATTTTTGCACGTCCTTCTTGTGCGACCAGCTTCATGGCATGTTCCACAGTAGTAAGTCTTCTTATTTTGGAATTGTGATTCACGTCGCTTAATTCTTGGCCGTCCAGGAGGTCGACTTGTGCGGGGTGGTTGGAGGAAGGTTTGGCCTAAAATATTTTCCATCCTATAGTCATTAATATCTGGCATGTCAATTGTCACAACTGGAATCATGCTCCGATTATAAATCTTTTGTTGAGATGTAATTTTATAGCATTCCTCAACATAATCATACACATTTCCATGGGCAAGCTTGATGGCTGCACAAGCATGTGCACATGGAATCCCTGACATTTGCCATGCTCCACAGCTGCATTCATGTAAACCTAGATCAACTTCTAAGTCTCCATAAGCTGTATGAACACATGCCCTATTCCCTCCATAAGATACAGGAAACATGTGTTCAGTTCTCATCACATTTTCCATCAATACAGCCTCGATGTTTGGCCCAACACCATTCCTCCACTTACTGATTGCCATGGCTGATGCGTGCATCTTCTTTGCTACTTTTTCTCGATGTTCATGGATTAACTGTGCAACATTATGCCTTCTTTCCTTCACCATCCATGCATTGAATGACTCAGCAATATTAGTTGTTATATTATCCCATCGTTTAAATGGGAATTGACTTAAAGCCCACCTATCAATATCACCATGATTCACAAGCCATTCAAATAACTCTTGAGACATATCCCTCATATGTCCTATTGCCTTATCAAACTCAGTTTCAAGTCTTGCATAAGCAATATCATCAAGCAACTTTAGTGCATCAACCTTACTCTTAGCACTTGTCCTTCCCCTTCCTCTATTTATTTTCAACCATTCTGAACTAAAGTTTTCCTTCACATGGCAATAGCAAAATGCATGTCTATCACTACCAAATATGACTCGTACAGCTCCTATTATAGCATTATGACGGTCTAAAACTATGGTCAGCTCAATTGACCCTGTTATCTGTCTAATCTTGGATAAAAACCATGTCCAGTCCTCTAATATCTCCCCATTCACAATAGCAATTGCAAATGGTAGTAACTCATTGTCTGCATCATATGTGGAGGCTGACAACAAGGTTCCTTTATATGGGCCACTTAAATGAGTACCATCTATATATAATATATGTCTTGCCCCAACCAAGAACCCCTCAATACAACAACCATATGCTATAAAAACACGCTCAAATATGTAATTGTTTGAAGCTTCCCATTCAGCAACTGTTGTCGAATCACTTTCCTTTAGTCGTTGACATATCCATGGTATAAGCATATAAGATTGATCTGGTCTGCCTTGAATATCCTCCATTGCTTTTAATTTAGAAGCATATGCTTGTTTATATGTCAGATTTACTCCATATTCTCTCTGTAATGTCTTCATAATTTCACTAGGGCGCTTATCTATGTGTGATCTTACATCTTCAATAATAATAGATAATGTTAGAGCAGCTCTTCCCCCATGGTTTACTTGAAGACAATCTTGTGCATGGTGAACATGCTCATTATTGAATCGCGTCACATGAAGGAAAGGGGTATTCTTTCCTACTGCATTTGCAGTTATCTTCCAAGGACATCCTTCGATTTTACATTTCACAGACATTCTTTCTTTGTTGTTCCTCACAAACTTGTATTGAAACTTGTTAGCAATACTATATTTGTGTAGCAGCCGTTTGAAAGCATCAGCGTTCGGAAAGATTTGTGATAAGCCTGAAAATATCTCTTTCCATTTCAATGAGTTCAACTCAGGAAAAGGTGTGGGTGCACTTTGTACTCCACATGGTGTGCTACTAGGTCCCCCACAGCTTTCATAAGTAACACCATTTTGATGAGATGCAAGTTCAGGTTCATTATTGAAATTTCTTGGAGAAAAAGAGCTTTGTTCTGGCTGCCTCACGCTTGTATGCATGCTGCATTATATGACCACAACGTTTGTTATTTTATTAACAAGAATATTCTAACAAATAACAGCTTATTTTTTTGAGAAAAACAACTAACTTACATTTGTGGATCACCACTTGCTTCTTCTGCATTGCCATTCCTTTTACATGCTATATAGACATGGCCACTCCTCTCATTATATTGAAAAAGATTTGCAAGTTCCTCATCATCAACAAGATCTATTAGAGTCTTTTGATCAAAAGACACTGTGTATTTCATCTCACTATTATTAATGTCATTTCCAATCCATGAATATATTATTACTCTCATTTCTTCAAGTGTCATACCCTCTCTTATGTTTCTTACCCTAACACTCCCCCCATCATATTGAATTTCACCTTCAAGATTCTTGACAAATTGTCCACCAACATGAAAATAACAAAATAATCCTTTTGCTAATGTTAATCCTGAAGTAGATGCCATTTTTTATGCCAACCTGCAATAAAAAAGGGACTACTAACTAGTCATAATCATTATCAATTTTTTCGATCAACAAAATATAATATAAATTTTTTTCAATCAACAAAATAGAATATAGCTTCTGAAATTAACAACTTTTACTTAAATCTTAACATGTTTCACTTAGCTATTAGCACTAATGTGTCTCTCATAACCATGATAATTTCCACCTTTTACAATCAATATAACAGAACCTACCTTCAAAATTTATTAACTTCAACTTAGATTTTAACACATTTCACTTAGCTATTGACATAAAACATAGCCCTTATAGTTATGATCATGATCACTTCTTACAATAACATAACATAATCCACCTTCAAATTTTAACAACTTCAAATCATGTTTTAACACGTTATACTTAGCTATTAACAACATACACAACCCTCATAGCATTTTTCTATTAAACTTTTACGATCAAGCAAATATAATCAGTCATCATGCATATCTATTCATTGTAAACGCTGCATCACACAGATACATCAACCTTCCTACTCATCCTAAAAGCAACACTCCGTACTCTCATTTAGCTATTTTCATGATGCACTTCTTATTGTACGGCAAATTTTCCTTCCTCCCCTACAAAAACCCCATCGCCCACAATCCATACTAAGAAAAGGAAGGACCAAGATAGCATGATGAAATTTTCAGGATTAAGATGAAAAGACTTAATATAAAAAACTAACTTACCTTTGCTTTCTTGTTTGATTTTTCGACTTTGGAATGATAGACGTCAAGTTCGCTCCTTCAGAACTCTTACGTTAGGCAGGAGTGATAAATAATATACATCTCTTTAGGTTTATAATAAAAGGACATTACAGTAATTTTATTAAATTTTTAAATCCTTATTTGGGCTATGCAACCTAATTAGGAATTAATGAAATTTAATAGCCCAAATGGGGATTTGGGTTATTAAACCGTCTTTTTAAGGGATTTTCCCAATTGTAAATGAATCATTTACGTGTAATTAATCTCTCTATCTTCAAATAAGGACAGACTTTTGCCGTTATGCTTTCAATTTCACACTGAAATTACTCAGAATATTTAATTACAATGACTTCCTAGATTTGAGATCATGTGCATTATTGCGCAAGTGCCCTTATTTTAATTAAATTACTAGTTCCTAATTAAATTAGCAATGAATTCCTAAAGCAATTAATGGAAGCATGACATGTCCAGAGATCCTCAACCAATTAATAAAAAATGACTTTGAAAGTCTATTTATTAATTAACGACACGTCATCTTTTTTCACTAGTTTATTAATTATTAATTAATGAATGAGTAATTATCAGTGTGAAATTGAAAGCATAACTACAAAAGTTTGTCCTTATATGAAGATAGAGAGGTTAATTACACGTATATGATTCATTTACAATTTAAATCTTTTACCCATTTGACGTTGAGTTCATCTTGAAAAAGCATCTCCAAGAGTTTAGCACAGATGATTAATACCCAGGGGAAAAATATGGAAAAAGTGGGTTAATTAAGGAAAAAGACAAAAAGCTTTTGCCACAAAAATTGACACACCCAAATAAACAATTTAAAGGATGGGTTTTATTTTTCTATTAAGGCAAATAATGATGCCATTAGCACCTTATAAATGTCCCCAAAAACAAAGACAGACCCACTTGTGATTTGATTAAACCTAATTGATGTGGGAGACAAAGTTGACCTTCCTCAATAATCGTTGTGTCCATTTCTGATATCTCTCTCACATAATATTTAATCGATCAGTATCCTCCTTTTATTCTTGTCGACCCAAATAATTGCAATCAACTTTGCTTTAATCTTTCTCTCTACAATTGCTTCTGCCATTAGGGAACATTCACAAAGCCAAACTCTTGCTCACTGGACGAACCAAAAAGTGAAAGGGAAATTAAAGTTGATAAATCTCTAGCCACTCGTGCATGAATTTGTCGAATTCACGTCAAAAAGTAGAAAAACACACACACAACACACAGAGACAGCGACTTTATACATATGTATTGTGATAATAAAGTGCTTAATCAGTTATATAACTATGCCGAAATGGTTGTGATGATCCATTTCTTTTCTTTTAATTCGTGATGATATGGGATTGGATGATAGAGGAAAATTAATTATTTTTGTGATATATTAATTGATATGAATGAGAGCAAGTAATATATATAATTGAAGGACTTTTGGGATGGACATTGCACCAACCAGGGGCTTTCACATCCGTCGTGTGGTGTGGTCGGATAAAGGAATCTTGCATGTTTCTGCATCCGACCAAACACAGCGTTCTTTGAATTCGGACCAATTACTGTTTCGCTTTCTCATATCTTATTACCACACCTTCCTCAAACCTTTGATTTAGTTTGTATATCATATTAAGTGTTTGGAAACATGTTTGTCAAAACCAGAATCATGGTTTAATTTTGATCATATATAAGTTACCAAAGGGTTAAGTTTCCATTAGAATCATTGGGGTTTTGTAAGTAGTCAATTGTTGGATCTCTTATATGCTAATATACATTTCCTCCTACAGTTACAGATCAGACTAAACAAGAACTATATAGGGCCATCATCAATAATGGATATGCAGTTTGTCTTCAAGTTCCAAGCTGATACACAAGATACAGTTATTTTGTGGTAATATGAAGAAATCAAGACTCAGAAAAACCCGCAAGCTGTTAATTAAGGAATTAATTATGCCAATATGTTGCTTGAAGGTCACAAGGTGTGCCTTTGAATTAATATGAATATTACTCCCTTCCATCCTAAAAGAACTACTAAATGAGTTTATTTTAATCTTAAAATATAAGACACCAACTTACTTTATTTTTAAATTTGTAATTTTTTAATTTTTTTTTAACTGATTACACATATATATCAAGATGGCTAGTATTTCATTAAGGGAATAGTTTCATGTGCAAACAGTTAAAAGAATTAGAACTAAATTAATTATTTTTTTCCTATTCTCTGCAAATGAATTAGCTAATTCTTTAATTAACATTGGATGAAGCATTAATAACATAAATTCATATATGGATAGAAGAAGACAAACTTTGGCAGGCTCCTGGGATGTGTGTAGGAAAGTAACAAAGTTGAATGCTAGAGTCTTCTTGACCTATACATATCATATGGGCAATTAGGTAGCTGTGGAGCTAAGGGCACCATGACCACATGGGAAAGCAAGAATCCTGGGAAGACGTCTTATCTTTGCATGCATGCTAAACTCAGGCATCCCATCCACTTGCCTTCTGCACATTTTATTTTAAAATTTTATATATATGTCGACGCCATGAATGAATAAAAGACAACCAATAATGCAGAGTGACCGCGCGAGAGAGAGAGAGAAGGAAGATCAATAAATCTTCGATAACAGTACTTGTATCTTTTTTGGTCCGTTGAATTAATTAGTCTCTGTTCTAAATGATGTGATGGACGGTTTGAGAAATTAATAAATTATTAATATTATTGCTTTAATCATTTTCATCCTAAATAAGTAAATATGAACCCCATTACAATAAAATAAACTATAAAAACTTAATTTAAGATCATCAAGATAAATTGTAATAAGAAATCAGGTTTAATTTTTCATGTGTGTGTGTGTGCATATGAAGGCTTTGATTTCAATTAATATTTGTTATTTAATTTTACGATTTCAAGGCCTCAAGGTACACATGACAATTTTATGGAGCAGATAACCCATGCACTTAAGTTGACCCGTCACTGATGAAAACAGAATAACATATTGGAATCATGTGCCTCCCTAAGCAACACGACAATTAAACATCAATCTCTGCACAAATTATATTTTAATATTCTCTAGAAATTTTCAATCATTCAAGTTAGGTCGCCATTGCAGGATGAAATCTCCCTTTCTAATATGATTCTCTTTCTCAAACATTGAAGGTATATATATTGCCGCCACTGTTGTTTATAGATTTTCTTCTAATGATTAGGTGACTTGTATAAATGAAATGTTGTTGACATGCTACTTTCATGAGCACTAAATAAATGAATTATAAAAGATAATTGAGATACCCACGATTCTTTTGGTGATGCAATCAAAGAGGTTCCTCTGTTGTGATTCAGAATATTGATTAAGGAAATTAATCTTATAGCTAGTCTACTGACATATATGAGAATTTTTCTGTAAGTGAAGCTTGTAATACCATGCTTTTATTAGTACTGCCTGCTTAATTTAATTAAAACAATGTTGATTAAAGAACTCGTGTGAAGGTGTAATGATAGAGAGCAATCTAAGACATGTTTAGAGAGATTCTTGCAGAAGAGGACAGGGTCTTAAGTAAGATTTGAAGACCAGGTTTCGCAACCCAAAATGCTCTGAATAAAATTACCCAGAAGATTGCAGGTTTTGTCAAAAGAATGTACTAAACTTGTCTCAGACAAAACACTGCTTAAAGACTCCATCCATCCCATTGCTTCTTAAATAAATATGTTACATATCCTAATTAAATTATCATGTCTAATAATAGACACTAATTGACAAATCCATGTAGATTAATTAAGCTCACACAACGATGTCTCTAAATTTCAACTTTTCAACCATGTCGGGACTAAGAAAATTTGAAAACATTCACAGGTAAAAAAATTTCATTTTTATTTCTAGATCTCTCTATATCCATGTTCAATAATTTCAAGGACTATATACATACATATATATATATATATTGTGTATGTATATTGCCGACGCAGACATGTAATTATGGAAGACAGTACAGATGTACTGTTAAAAGTTTTTGTATGATATAAGAGATTGAAGAGTGTG